GACCTAGAGACACAAGCACAATTTGCTCACCCAGAAGTATGTTGTTCTGGTTCTCTAGCATCAGTCTCACTTTTCAAATATGCCTTTTAAGGAGAAATCAGAGCTCGAAGGGAGGTAATTTTTTTCACATTCTTGGCCACCCCCAATGCAGTTGCTTGCAGGCTCACTTAGGATGGCTACCAGCTACAACTTACCTGCCTGTGTCTTAATGCTGGTCGCTTGCAAAGAGTCAAGGGACGGGTCAGAGAGCCGAAACCCTGGCCACCAGCCCCGTGCTCTTGCCACCAGAGCACGCTCGGCTCCAGCTGCGAAGCGGGGGACGTGCCAGGCTGTGCACTCACCCTCCGCTCTCTCTCCGCCCCTTTACACTATGTGAGATTAACAGCCCAAATCTGCACGCTGCTACAACACAGAGCACGTTTTAATGATTTTAATTACGGTTGCTGCAGCCAGAACCTGAGCTGGCTGCTGTTGAGCCAGGACGAGCGCTGGGTGGGTGTGCCTGCGCGAGGGAGGCTCCACGCCAGTCCTTGCATACCTGCTTTTGATCTTGGGCATCTGCCACTGGAGCGTGTCTTTGAAGGCAATTGCCCTTTCAGCCACTGCCTGGATGTTTTATCATTTGCAAACTAAGTTTTGCACAGAACTTTTCTTGAAGGAGAAATAATCGAAATGTTGCCAGCCTGGAAACTCCTGTCTGCTACAGGTGTCAGTTGAAATTCCAGTTCTCCGTCAGCAGTTAAGGCTTTCCAGACTATTTTCCGGCAACTGTGGCAACAAATTAAACAGCATCTATCATTTCATGTCTCGGAAGCCTCCACGCCACCAGACAGAAAACAGATCATGGGAGGATGTGGAGCTGCCTCTTCATTTTGCGGGGTACACAGATCCTTTGCCCTGCCTGAGCTTTCTGGAAATGACGGGCCAAAAAACCCCAACGCAAATGCAGAGCAGCACTGCGGGGCCAACTCCTTGCGGCGAGGGACAGCTTGGGGCAGGGCTGTCCCCAAACCTTGTCCCTCTCCGCAAGGTTCGCAGCATGCGTACCTGCAGCCCTCCCGACACGTGCCACCTCTCGCCTGTGGCATTTTCCTCATTCATGCTGAGATCTACTAAAGAATTTGGGAAATATTTTTTGTAGTTGTTTTTAAGTGTGGAAGAGTGAAGTTAAAAAATTAACTTGTGATTATGGATAGTCTGGGTAAGAGTTAGCAGGAGCTTCCAATCCAGTCAGGCGCAATGAGAAGGGAGGCCTCTGAAAGCTGTTCAGCAGCATGCCAGGGCGTAGCAAGTCATTATTTACAGCGTGTGTTTTTAACACAACTTGAAATTCATAAACAATAATACTGGCAGCTTGACTGTGCTTCTTCACAGCATTCCATCCAAAACAGGAGATTTTTACAATTTGTACTGTCATCAGAGCTGGTTGGGACCTTTGGGGTGAAACATTTGGTTTGGCAAAGCCATCCCTCTTCACAGAAGTGGTTGTAGAATCACAGAACTGCTTGGTTTGGATGGGACCTTCAAAGATCATCTAGTCCAACCTCCCTGCCATGGACAGGAACATCTTGCACTAGATTGGGTTGCTCAAAGCCCTGTCCAACCTGACCTTGAACACTTCCAGTGATGGGACATCCATGACTCTGGGCAACCTGTGTCTCATTTAATCTTCTGTCAGGAGGTTTCTCGGGTCAACGCTGGAACCAAAGCCCGAAGCAAAGCCCCCAACAAGCAGGAGAGGAAGGACACCTCTCTTGAGTTGGGTTAGAGTCCCAAATCCGTGAGTCCTAGCTTGCAGGCAAAGTGCCTGGTGACTGAGTCTCTGTCTATTTTGGGACAGTCTCTGTTTGGGTCTGGCTTTCTCTCAGGCTCTCTGTCTTTGCTTTCTTCAATTATGTTTCTCTACTAACATTTTCCAGGGGTTATGCTTTTGTTCCACATCAAAACAACACAGATCCCGCAGCATTCCTCAAAGGACACAACTCCCGTTCACTGGCTGGCCCAAGTTATAATGGAAATTATTAGTTTCCTTAAGCATTTATTGTACTCAGCCAGAAATACAAGCTTGCCCTGTTTCGATCTGAAACACCATGCACGGAAAGGAGAAAATTCCACATAGTACCACAAACATCATGCTTGCAAGAAGGTGGTATGTTAATTAATAAAGTCTGGGAGCCGCTGGTTTAACATATTAATGAATTTGTTATGCAGAGAGAGATGGAAAGATATATTTCCTTATTAGATTTCTGAATGTCTGATACTTTTATTGTAATTATGTTCTATTTCGTGTCTTTCTTACAAACACTCTAATAGTGTTTCTAATAGTATAATTGTGTTAGATAAATGTTTCAGCAAAGGGAAGGAGAAATAAGGGGATATAGGCCAGATGAATGTATTCAGAACTTGAAGTAGGAGAGACAGCTGTGGGGATAGACCCTGGAAGAGAGATCCTTTTATAACTGAGGACCTGCAGAGAGCAGGATCTGCTTAGGAGCAAAGGAGGGTATGAGACAGTGGGTCAGAAGAGCCAGGAGAAAAGAATCTTGTTTTTCCCAAAGGGTTTTGAACATGAAGGCCCTGCTGAACTGGACTGGTAGGTGTGTGAATCAGAGACGTGGCAGTGGGCTCTATGGCTGCATGTCTTCACTAATGCAAGGAGGAGAGTAGCTGCCTTTTTTACAGGCTGCAGTGAGAATAATGGAGGTAACCTGGCTCAGGCTGATCCAGCCCTTTCAGTGCAGTGGGTTGTAGACTGTTTTTGAAGTGTCTCCAGAGAACGCATACAGAAATGTCATCGTGGACCTGCAAGCCTCTGAGCTGCTGCCAGCCCACCCCGGTGCTGCTCCAGGACTGGTGAGACCATAGCCTTCTCTTCCCACAAAGGGGAGATGGCATTTCATGGAGCTAAGCAGATTAGGAGGCATTTGCCCGCTCTGATATGGCCGCTGATAGCCCTAACCAGCAGGGCTGGTTGAATCACCCCTTGGGCAGAAGCCAACCTGTGGGTTGCAAGTTGGACCACAGAGCTGCAGAGAGTGGAGAAGTTGTTAGTCAAGGGAATTAAGATAAAGGGAAGGTGGGGATTGGAGTGCCTTTGGCAAATAGTGCCTTAACTGATGTGGGACAGCCCTCTCGCATGGCTGTGCCCAGGGCCAGGCTGACAGCGCTTTGAACAAGTCATAGAAAAAATTGGGATTCCCGAAGCTGCATGGAGTACTTAAGCACTCACCTTACATTAAAACTGACTGCTAGGCATCTTTTGCTGGGTCCACTGGCATTCTTCACAGTATTAACCATATGCAATTTTACATTAGAAATACCTGTGGAAACCTGAGTGTGAACTTAAATTCCTGTGTTAGAATATTGCCCAGCTGTTTTCTTCTGCACAGTCCCAGTGACTGGAGTAGAGAGATGTTCACTTTTAGAGTTTTCTTCACCTCAGAAAACCTTCAGGGGGGAAAAAGGGTAGAGCTTTGCAGTTCTTTAATACAGTCTATATTTTTGCATTACTATAGCACTTTAAAACTCTAGTTCCGTATCAAGAAGAGACAAAGAATAGAAGACAGTGATTCCCAGTGGAGTTCCCACGAGTCATGAGAGCCTGGGGCTTTGACCCAGGGTCCAGTGTACGGCTGGGGCAGAAGCCGACATTGGGGCAGTAACCACAGTGGGACAGAGTGATGCGTATTTGTTATGGGTTTGTTGCTTTTGTACTGGCTGGGCTTAAACCATGACAGTATTTGACAAGAGTTTCAAGAGATTAGACTCTGTATGACTGCACATAGACTCGGGGGTTCACTCCCAAAACTCCTGTAGTTATTTTTCAGCTGATTTGGGACTGCCTGAAGCCACTTTGTGGCTTTCCTCAAGGTTTCCTGCAAAAGGCTATGGAAAACAGCTTTATTCTTACCCATACTAAGGTCTTTTCACTGCCCTACCTACAGAAAAGTTCTGTACCATGTCCTTTATAGCCCACTTAGCTTCTCTAAACCCATTTTGGCCACTGTAAAGAGAATACAGCCCAGAATAATTATTCTTTATTCTGACACATACACACATACAAAAGGTTTGGGATAAGAATAGAAATTCTTTTACAGATTCCTTCTGGATGGAGCAGGAAGAATCAGGGGCCAGATTCTGCCCTTAGTCCCTGCAGATGAATACTGCTGTAGCTCCCTAAAATCAATAAAATTACTCTGCACTTACAGAGTGTCAGATTAGAAGCTACAAAATCAAAACCAAACCCCATGAACTCTAGTTTGGCTGCTCACAGCAAGCCGTAAAACCATCTATAGTTACTTAGAAGTGGTTCTCTGTCCCAGAAAAAAAAAGCAGTATTAAATCTGACTTTATAGCCCTGCAAGGTTAGATGCCAGTGCTTCCATCTCATTGAGAAGACAGTGAACTCTTCTTTCTAGTGGCACCATGCTATTATTTCCTGAGTCATAAGATGCTGCTCCTTAAATTCCTTGCTGGTTCAAGATTACTTACTGAATTCTGACTGCTGTGGGTCTGAGATAAGCTATACTAGGGGAAAACTTTAAACTTTATCCATGGAGAAAGAAAGAGAAGACATTTCCCAAACCTAGCATCTGTTGGCATCTATGGAGCAGTTTGATGCATTAGAGGTGGCCCCATGGGAGAAAGAGTAACAGCGTGCTTCTATTTTTGCATTAAATCAGGCTCAGCAGAGGGCATGATGATGCATGAATATCAGTGTGTATCTGCTTTCTCACTGTCATTTTCTCAGAGTTAGGGGGGAGGCAGAGGATGGCAGTAACAAAAGGGACACAGACAGCCCTCCACATTACCTACCAGGGCAGTGGGGAGTTTTGCTTCATGCACTTTCTACAGACAGGCGGCTGCCAGCCAGTAATGTAACTCATGCTGCTGCTGCTCTTTGCAGGGAGACAACTCTGTTTCCGCTAGCTGCTTGGCTCGATTTGGCATTTTTTATTATAGCCCAACATAGCATGACAATGCAGCTGATTCACTGCACCATGGCTGGGGTAAGGACTTGCAGTCATGCCGTCTCAGAGGACGCAGTGGGAATATGAGAGTGCGAACTCCGGCTCTACTCCCAGCCCGACTCTTGGGACTTGAAAGAGAGGGATGTGCTACGTTTTAAATGTTCACGCATACACCCAACGCTTAAGCTTTCAGGTATTTTAGGTCAGAGCTAGTCTTCTAACCAGCCTGAAGCTATGCTGCACTGTGCTGTAATCCTGACAATTTTTTCAACTAAATGTGCTTGAATCTAGTAATTTTCCCGATGGCTCACCTCCAAGGAAAATGGTGTCGATCATTTGGTAGGTTTCAGGGTTGGGTGTGAGTCAGCTCTGAGTCAGGCAGCAGCTCCAGCTCCATGAAGCGCTGGTCCCCCTGTGCTGGCACGACCCGTGGGGCCACAGCCCTGCGATGGATGCTGCTCCCGAGCCTCCCCAGCAGCACCGTATGGGAACCCAGGCGCTGGGCACTCGGAAAGCAAAGGGGCAAGTCCACAGCCCCGTGCTTTCGGCTGTTCGTGTGCTGCGAAGCCCTCTCGGCCTTGGAAGATGGTGGGGTGCATAGAGGATGCTGGCTCCAGGCAGGGAGAAGGAGATGGGGACCCATCTCGCCCCCTGCGGAGGGGCCTGTCCAACTGGGGTGCGGGCACAGCGAGCCACTGCTGTGCGAACAACTTGCATCCCCAGAGCCAGGAGGAAGCAAGGAAGGAGTTTTGTCCAGAGACCTCTGTCCCTGGCCCGGTGTTTCTGTTTATATTCACACTTATATTAAGTAGGGTGGTGTCCCAGTCCTCAGGCAGTTGAGAGCAAAGCCAGACACGGTCTTGAAGGCAACAGTCACTGTGCGCGTTGTGCAAAGTGGCGTGACTGACGGGTTCCTTGCTCTCTCTTTGTCTTTCTCTCCCCCTCCCCGGCGGTGTGATTGAAGCAACGCCCCGTGAAGCAGTCCCTGAGCGCCTGCATGTGCCGAGAGTCCCACTGGAAATGCCTCCTCCTCTCCATCCTCATGTATGGCTGCCTGGGTGCGGTGGCCTGGTGTCAGCTGGCCCGGGTCACCAAGCTCAGCTTCGATAGCTCCTTCAAGGGCAAGTCCATGATCTACCATGACAGCCCGTGCTCGGACGGCTACGTCTATATCCCGCTGGCCTTCCTCTCTATGCTGTATGTGGTGTACCTGGTGGAGTGCTGGCACTGCCACGTCAAGAGAGAGCTGCAGTACAAGGCGGACGTGGACAGTGTCTATGAATGCATCAACCGCATGCAGCAAGCCACGCCATGCATCTGGTGGAAGGCCATCAGCTACCACTTTGTGCGGCGAACCCGGCAGGTGACCCGGTACCGCAATGGCGATGCCTACACCACCACGCAAGTCTACCACGAGAGGGTCAACACCCATGTGGCTGAAGCTGAGTTTGACTACTCTCACTGTGGGTACAAGGACATCTCCAAGGAGCTCCTGGGCCTGGAGAGCTACACAGCCACCAAGCTGAGGTTCACCAAGTGCTTCAGCTTTGCCAACATCGAGTCTGAGAACTCTTACCTGACTCAGAGGGCTCACTTCTTCACGGAGATCGAGGGGCTGGATGACTACATGGAGGTGAGGGAAGGCATGCAGCTCAAAAACGTGGACTTTAAAGAGCTTATGATGGCTTACGGGGACCCAGATCACCTCCCATGGTACGTGTCCCACTATGCTTTCTGGGTGGCAGCTATCCTGATGATCTCATGGCCGCTCAGGGTACTCATAGAGTATCGGACTGCTTATGTCCACTACCACGTGGAGAAGCTGCTGGGCCTGGAGTACACGGCGCCCACCGCGGCCGAGGAGCCCCTGTACCGGTACCGCATGCCCCGAGACACCACGCAGGACAGCACCGAGCTGGAGTGGCACATCTGCACCAACCGGCAGCTGATCCCCAGCTACTCGGAGGCCATGCTCATGGACCTGGCCAACTCCCCAGCCTACAACAGCTACGCGGTGTGCCGGTACGGCGAAACGGCCCACGGCTGCGAACGCTGCAACCGTGCCTCCAGCACCTCCTCCATCTTCTCACGCCACGCTTTCCACAGCTGCAGCGGCAACTCCCGCCTCTCCCTCAACACCAGCCGCTTCTCCCTCTGCCGCGTCCACGGCTCCCACAGGACAGGCCTCTGGAGGAGCCGCAGCAGCAGCATCGCGGACCGGGGCTGCCAGGACGAGCAGTGCTGCTCCTACTCCAGCCAGCTGGCTGTCAACGAAAACCCCCCAACCTACCATGACGCCCGCTTCTTCCCCGTCCTGATTGTGCACAGGCCGGAGGGGCATGACGGGCGGCATTTCTACGTCAGGCGCTCCTCCTGTCTAGAAACCTCTCTGTGACAGGCCTCCATGGTTTCTCGGCTCCTCTGCCCCGGGACAGGGCTTGCAGAGGTGCCGCCGGCGGGGAGCCTGCAAGCATCAGTCTCCACAGCAGGTCGGCAGGACGAGCTTCAGCCCTTCCCCCTGCTGCTGCGAGAGGACATAGTCGCTCTGACCAACTGCTAACCTCATTTCCAAGAGCTTCTCCCCCTCCTTCGGCTGGTCCCTCTAGTCTTTTGTTCCCCTCTTCCTTTCGCTCTTTCACTCCTCACAGTTTCTCTGCTCCTTGGTTGCCTGCCTCTCCTCCCATGCCACCCTCAGTCTTTTTTTTACATTTCAGTCACAGCATTTGACCGCTGTTGCTGCTGGAGGATTTATAAAGCCTGTGCTTTGCAGTATATTTGCCCTCTTGGATGCCCTGCAAGGTAAGAAACTCAGAGCGAGGAGAAAGGCACCCGGCCAGCCAGAGTCAAGTCAGAAGGAGAATTCAGATCTGCAGGTGCTGAGTCACCTCCTGCAAACCCCAAACGAGGTGCTTTTTAAATTTATTTTATTTTCACCAGTCTTTTTTCCTCTTCTTCTGACATTTATCCTCTCCTTTCTTCATGTTGTCCTCTTCTCACTTTACCCTCATCTCCCTTTTTTCTCCATTTTTCTCACTTCTGCTTTCCAGTTTTTCTGGGGTTTTGCCGGTGAGGATGTCTTTCAGGGTGTAATCTCCTTCCATCGGGCAAAGATAAGGTATTCACGGCACAAATGTCACTGACTGCTGACGCAACCACAGGCTATGCACCTGAAAAGTGCTGAGGACTTTCCTTCCAGAGCAGTAACGTACACCAGTAAAGCGAAAAGCCCTTTGCTCACCTTGTCCTGCCTTGTCTGCAGCAGAGACACTGCTGCGTTTCCAGCTGTAGTTAACCTTGTCCAGCTCCGCCCCTGTTAGCAATCGTCGAGAGCAGTAATGTAGATCAGTGCCCTGTTAGTGCCACTATTTTTAGGATCGTGAGTCTGGTTTGTGGTTGTTTCATTCCTACCACTTGCGCAGAGCCGCGCAGGATGGACAAGGGGAGAGGGGCTGGAGAGGGAAAGGCACATATGGTATGAACTCTCCCACCGAGAGTCTGGAGTTGTTAGGAAGCTCTTCCACTCACAGCGTCTATTAGAGTAGTTGCAGGACTGCTCTACGCTATCTTTCAGCTTTCCGTGTGCCCTGGGGAAGGCTTTTGGCCCATAGCCCACTGCCGCCTTCCCACCTTCCCAGGCGAGATGCGGTGCCACCCCAGCCCCGGGCAGGGAGCACAACTGGGAGCCAGCCCCACCAGCCACTCCTGCTGGGGCTCCAGGTTCTTCCCGCAAGGCTTCACCTAGAGCAGGTGCAGCACCTTCCAGAATTAGTCCCAGCAGTGCCAAACCCAGAAGGTGTCCGGTCCTGGCGGAGCAGACCGCTGCACTCTGGGCTGTGGGTTGCCCTCCTGGCCCAGGGAGACCCCCCCGAGAGGCAGGGACCGACCCGAGAAGCTTATGGTCACACTGAGGACCCGCCAGGGACCTCGCACGTACCAAACCTCCGTCACACAAGGGATGGTCATATGCTGAGCAAGCTCCGTACCATTTTGTCACGTGGATGGTGGAGATTATTATCCACTGTGACTCACAGGAGAATGCAATGCGATCGCAATACGATCACTTTCAAAAACAAAGTGTTGTCACACCCTACAGCAAATAGGTAAGAAACTGAGCCCCCAGAGGGGCTGGCAACAAATGCTTCTTCCCAAGTCCATTCTGTGTGTATCTACATGTAACATGAGATTTGTAAGGTCATATTAGTATGTGTAGATTATATATAACTCTGCATACTTATATGGTGATTTCTTATGGCATTGACTGTTGCACCATGTTAAATACATTTTATTTTGGTTTGATGACTCCGTTTTGATGTGCTGTATTTATTTCAGCTGCAGAAATAGAAACATTGGTAATACCTGGCTAACCTGCTGCAAATGATGGCACCATCAGAAAGGTTGTTTAAAATCGTATGAGTCGATCTTTTTTAATGTAAATACTTTATGTATGATTTATGTGACATTTTCATTCCGACAGCTTGGCATTTATTGCAAAAGATAGATAACACATATGATGTGTTAGTTTGCCACCTCTAAAAAAGAATAACCATCCCAGACACGTGGAGGAACCAGGTTTGGGCTCAGGGTAATGATTATGGTTGGGCTGGGGCCAAACTGGATAACATTGAAACTTAGAGAAAAATCCATACTTAGATCCACCCTACAGTGACCCAGTCCTAGCCCCCCATCTACACCGTGCCACCTACCACCCCCAGGCAGAGCCGGGAGAGTCTGGGAACTAGGGAAGGATCAGGCCTGAACTCAAAGCTCAGGCTCATCCTTGATTTATTCGTATTCTGAAGATGAAGTAAATGCAAGACTTTAATATGGTTGCCTGTCCTTATTTTCATTCACACAGAAAGTTAAAACCAGCACATATGGAAGATGTAAGAGCTGGAGGAGGCTGAAACTTCACGACACAGAGAGGCTGGAATATTTCAACACAGTTTCTTACTGAAGGAGGCAGTAGGGAGGAAGACAAGAAAGGAGAAAGGACAAGATGGTAGAATAACACAAATTAAAAGAGAACAGAGTTCAGCTGCAGCTAAGATAATTCCCAAATGAGCAGCATAACTCAGTTATGGCAAGCTTAGCCCAGACACAGGCAGGATGAGTTTCAGTCTTCTTGTGAGCTGCTGCAGCCACCTCTGTCTTTAAATACCACGTCCAAGGTCTTGGCATGGCCAGTTCGGTCCCATATGTATTTCAAGATGGAGAGTTATATTTGGGTCTTCAGAAGTGGCCACGTTAAACAGTATTATTACCCAGCATGAACAAGCTCTGGCAATCCCATTATTATGATGGGCTGGGCAGAGAATGGAGACAGTCTATGCCCAGTTTAACCTCTTCAGTGTCCTCAAAAGCCACTGTAATATCCAGCAGTTCTCAAGCTGTGTCCTTGGCAGGGTTTGGAAAGCCCGGAGGGTTTTTGCTTCCTCACTCCCTGTGTCCTGGCCCAAGTTTGGGGCATTTATTTGAGAAGCCATCCCTAAGCTGCAAAGGCCCTCACACACATGAAGCTCCCTCCAGTTACTTGCTGTAGCCTCTGGTGGTGACTGAAAAGCTGTGAGCATCTCCTGTTCTGGCCTGGGGCTGAACGTGCTGGTTTCAACAGATCACCCACTCAGGAAGCACCTGAACAGCCATCCTGGGTCTCCTACACCAGAGAGCAGAACCAGCTACTCCTGCAACCCCAGAACGCCACTTCGTCGTCGCTCTTGCCGTTGCCACAGCTTCCCGATGCAGGATGAGGGATCTGTCCCCTGGCAATGGAGGGGATAACGCTGCTCTTCAAATCCCAAGTCAGAGGGTGGAGCAGACAGGTTCTCGAATCCGAGTGCAAACCAGGGAGCTCTAGGGAAAACACCTTGTACAAAACACAGGGATTTTGCATCCAGTTGCAGACTGACTGCTTCGAGGATGGAGTAATGGCATGCACCAGCGGCTTTTGCTGAACCTTTAGGGCTATGGCTTCTCCTGTGGAAATGGGTGGTTTGGGGTGCTTTCTCACTGGGATAACCCATCCTTGTCCTGTTGGGTCTCAATAATTAGAAGAGGCTGAACAGCAGAGGAAGGAGAAATCACTCAGCAAATACTTCTCTCCCTCCTCCCTTTTCTCTCTCTTCCCTCACTCCCACTCTTCCTTTCTTCCTTTTTCCCTCCCAGCACTGGGAATTCACTTCTTGATTACTGTGCAGCTCTTCAGGCATTTTCTAGAACATGCCTACACCACCCAGCAAGTCCAGCGAGATGTGACAACACACTATCACAACAGAAGAAGTAAGGAAAGGACGTAAGCCAGGAAGGCACTGGCTTATTTATAAGCCACTGTGCTGTGTGCACAGACATTTATAAGTCACTGCTGCGCGCGAGCAGTGCGCACTGCCGCTGGTGTTATGGCCTGTAGAACAAAGCCACGTTGCTTCATTCAGTGGCGTAAGAGGCCGAGAGAGTTTGTCTTCAGTTCCTAAAAGCATTTCAGATTCACCAGTTCCTTTGATTTCTGCACGGTAATATTGCACTCCTCCGTAAGTTTTCCCACAGCAGTTTGCACTCCAACTGGCAGCGCGTGCAGGATTTCAGTCCAATTTTCATGTGGCTCTTCCTGCCTATCACTGTTGACACAAAGCCCTTCTCAGAAGAGCCGAAGCCAGATCCCCTGCCGGGCAAAACTCCCTTTGGTCTACTGCCTCCAGCAAAGCTTTGCTCTCTCACACCAGCCCAGAGTCTGGCCTGTGCCTTGCCACAGCAACTTTCTATCAGGTACTCCTCTTTGCAGATAAAAGCTCCCTTCCCTTTTTCCTTCCCTGAGCCTTTGAGAGCATCACATATGACATTTGGGCGAAGCACAACATGCCCGTCAAGGTAGAGGCGTGCTCCAGGCACACGGTGTGGAGTCAGGCCTCTCTTGGCTGCTGCCTCCCCGGACAGGCTTGGCCAAGTCCCAACGCTCGCCTGTGCCTGCTCTCTCCTGCTTCTACACCGGAGCTTTCCTGAGCCCACAGGGCCAGCGTAGTGCTGTAAGCCTCTGTGATTGTAAGGCTGGAAGAAACTCTTAGAAGGAAAACGCCGTGGAAATGCAGCGTTATTCTAATGGCCGTTAGTTTTTCTCATGGAAACAACTAAAAGCTGCAAAAGTAGCTACTTTCTGGAAGGCGCTATCACCATGAATAAGTGCAGAAACACGCGGCACACCCGGATAGATGGGTGTATATATATGGATACATGGGGGAGAGCGAGCAGCGACAGCAAGTGCGCGTGAAGCTTTTAGCAAACACTGGCGCAGAACCTCTCAGCCCGAGCAAGAGCCGTCGTGATCCTGGCAAGAGGCATGTCACGATTTCCCGTCCCTGAGAGCACCCAGGCTTCCTGCAAGCTCTCGGGTGGATGGCTTGTCAGTGTCTCCTCCCGGCCACCTCATTGCAGCGAGAGGCGCTGGGGAGGGAGTGACATTTCCATTCCAGTTATGAAATCTTCTTGGCGTTGCTCCAGTCCCCTGGGAATTCCTACCAGAAATGCAAATGGCTGGGGGCGGGGGAAGATCAGAGTTTGGGACGAAATTATGTGAGCTCGTCGTGCCTCAGTTTCTCCATCCCCCTGATGGGGATAACGCAGTTTCCCTGCGCTCCTCTGTTAAGCCAGGTTTCCGGAGTCTTGCAGGAGCCGCTGGGTAAGCGTTGCACACCAATGGCTGTGGCAGAGCTGAAAGCTGCATCGTGTTGTAACGACATTGCTCCTTATGGAGCCTTTCAACACAGATTCTCACCGTAACTCCTACGAGAAGGCAGCGCCAGGTTTTTTTTCAAATTGTTTGCCGGTGACTTTTTCTACACCGTGCTAGTAACTCTGTGGCAGCAGGGATCTCCTTCCTCAGCTCTCTCCCTACTTTTCGAGTAGCGGAAAAGAGGGCAAGGCCGAGCCGATCCTGCTTGTAGGGCACGGGTGGATCTCCTCACGTTGCCGGTCCTCCTCCACGTAGGAGGCACCGGGACGGACAGGGTGGCCAGTAGCCCCACTAGCCGGAGTCCGGCCGGTGAGGGAAGTGTGGCCGAGGCAGGGAGCCGGAGAGGCCCAGCCACCGAAAATGGGGCTGGGGGTGCTGTGCACATGAGGAAAGGTGCTGCCACCCATCCCGGCTGAGCCTTGGTTTGCGGGGGCCGAGCACCGGTGGCGGCCCCAAGCCCTCCTTCCCTGGGGAGCAGGAGGGTGCACGGGGGCTTGCGAGGGGGCCAGGCTGGCCTCCTGCTTCCATATGGAGGCAGGGGAATAAGCGACCCGGTTTCCCCCCCCACCCTGCCCGGTGCCCCGGCAGCTCCCGCGGATGTGGGTCACCCGCTCCCGGAGCTCTGGCAAACCAGGCCGCCCGGTGGAGCAGCCCCCCCCGGGGAAGGGACGGGGGGACGACGACACACACCGCCTCCAGACCCGACCCCCGCCCCGTCCCGCCCTCCCGGTCCCGTCCCGGGGCGGCGGAGCGGGGGCGGCGGACGCGCGGTGGTTCGCACCT